AATGATGCTACTTGTTCACCAGCTAAAGATTTATATGATCAGCTTTGAACCATACTTAAGATTTGAGAGTTAATGATACTAACAGGTTGCCAAAATCGAGTTGTGTGTAAAGCCGCATTTTAACTTCCTATCAGACGGAGGCTGAGTGCTTCTATCATTAAGTTAACACGAGTCACATATTATCAGTTGGTATATGGTAACAAAAACACTGTAATAGTTCAGAATCTAAATCATTAGATAATAAAAGATTTTACAAGACGAAGATTACCTTAGTAAAATATCATGGAACTACATTATGTTCTGCTAGGAAAAATGTCAATCCATTCTTACGATACTGTCCAAAGAAATGTATATGTAAACCTGTGTTATTCAGCTTATAGTGTATCTGAATGGTATCTGCTTTGTTTAAAATCCAGCATAATTATAGCAAAGCCTGTCATAGGACATGTACATAGTTTTCAATATACTGGGTGATCCTATCAATAGTCATATGTTTGTCTCAGAGATTGAAGCACATATGTCTAAGTTCATAACATACTTCTGTGAAATATTACTAAAAAGATCATCGTCAGAAGTTTCATTTCTTTAAAAATTTAATAAAGGTAACATTATTTAACTACTTTACAATAGATAAAAACTTTCTAGATCTCATCTGGTTATGGATTATAGCTAAAACTAAAAGTATGTCATGTCTCCTTGAAGTCACTAACTTCTAGTCTGAGCAATGTTGATGGATGTAGACTACTTGGTTGGGGTCAGCGTGACTTTCTTAGCCAATGGTTGGAGATTCGAGGTGATATGGCTCGGAATCGATCACAGTGGCGTAGGTGTATACACTCTGTTTTCTCTTAAACTATGAGATTAAAATCGCTTCATATATTTCTTTCTACCAACTAATATTTTCTTCCTGTACTATGTCCTTATATGCAATCTTATTTTATCTATTACCACCACTAAACTGACTACTTCTATGAATTCGGTGTTCATCTTGTTGTGTTAATGAGGTATGGCAACTTGGACGGATGCACACATGTGCCTGGTCGTACGTTGTAGCTGACTGACTGACTGATGTCACGTCTCTTTTCACAGTTAAAACTTAATTCAAAACGTGAGCATTTACAATAGTTTAAATGACCTGGACACCTTTATTATTCGGTGGTGGGTATTATTTCTCTATCCTGAAGAATTACAATCAGAATGATTGCAGTTTAATTGCTGAATTAGCATTATCAAATTTTTAAAAAAATAACTGATAATGAGAAATGACGATAACGTTTTACCAACTTTTTTCAGTATATGTCAGTTTGATTAAACTATAGTTTTCTGGATACAAGAAAATCTTCTTCGTACTTACATTATCATACGGTTTATTAACAAAAAGAAAGACTAATGTTTTGACATAACATCCACTGAAACCCAACAGCCCATTATTCAGAAATTAAATATTTCTTCACTAAAAAAACACTAATTTTGCAAATAGCACAAAACTGAATTCACAGAAAAAATAGTGATCATTGTTTTTCCAGTTTGACATAAGTTATTACCTATATAAAGGAGCCAGAAACAAAATCAAGATGAAAGAATACTTACCTAAGTCAAATAATTTTGTTATAAAAAACTATGTTGATGAATGGACCAAATACCTTATCTGTTGAAACAACTTCACATAACTGTGTGAATACTAGAGTCCATAACCTTGCGACAGTAGTCTTCAGGTGACATTAAGGTTAACATCAATTTTGAAGAGAGGATATGAAATATTTATTAAATTTTTAAATTCCTAGCCACTATATGTCTTTCTGATGCATTGCAATGCTTTAAAAATATTCACGTTTACAATCCCGTATTAAAAAGTTTATTTATGTAATTTTTTTTATGACCAGTTTATTAAAAATCGTATTATGGTGTATTGTAAAATTACAAGAAATTAATTTACTTCAACACCGAAAGACTGTTCTAAATCATGAATTTTTTATTGTCAGGCAAGTTGAAAAATAAATCTTACTATTAAGAAAGTGCTTAGATTGAAAAAGTGATATATGTACCATTTTTCAATTATCGAAGTAGAACACAGTAACTAACTAATAGCATCATGATGGTATGTAGGGTGAAAAAATTGGTGCATTAGCTTACGATTAAAACCGATTAATGTTGCATCATGTTTTTTCGAAAGCAAATTACTCATCTAACAACTAGGCTTTCGGTGGATAAGATTAGCAACAGTTCTGCTGGATCAACATGAATACTTTTAAGTAGAATATAAGTCATCAACATTTTTGATGGTCCAGTTCTGCATAGGCGTTGTCTTCTTTAAACCGTTTTGAAAGTTTGTTGAACAGAGTTGTACATGCCTCCAGTAACTTGAGCATAATCCAATACTAGTTACTAAAATTTTAATGGGAGCTGCGACCAAAGGAATTCAGTCTCGTGGGATGTCACTTATCCAGAGCCATCACACAATGAAACAGCCATAATCGAGGCTGCACTTGCTTAACTAACGTTGAAAATATTCTCGCGCCTCCAAGCTCGTCTCTGTTATCTGCCATGCGTTATGTTAGTTGTTTAATTAAAATGGTTGTCCAAGTAGTGTTTGAGATTTAGGGAACCATATCTGATTTAATGGCTTAATAAGTACTGAACTTTAATATAAGTGGCTTAATCTCTGGGATATGCATATAACTACTTATAGGATCACCTAGTTCACTCACAATTGTATCATCAGGATAAATTAAATCCATCACTTAGCGAAACAGTTTTGTATATGAAACTAGAACGATTATACTTATAATGTCAAGCTTGAAAGGAATATATTTCTGTGAAGTTAAGTAAAAAGGTTGCTGGTCAGTTACGGCATCTATTTTCAAATTCCTTAAATGATAACAGTATAAAATTGTTCAGCGAATTAAATTATGCAGTTATTTTACATCTGGATAACAGTCAACTGTCTAGAAAATTCAGTTGATGACAACTTTCAGGGTGTTTTCTTTGTGTAGTACTTCTAACCAAATAGACATACACAATTCATCATCTAGTCGATAAAATTTGTTAAGCATCGAAAAAAATACAATAAATAGTCGTGCTCTCTAGATGGTAGCACATGTACGTTATCCAGAAAATTGTTTAGTTCAGTGTCATATGAATAACTTAGTAATAAGCCTACGACTGATTCATGCAAAGGGAAACTATAAACTGTGTTAGTTGATTTTTTCCACTCTCAGATATGTAGGTCATTTACAGAGGAAATCAGCATAATGTAACAACAATGCAGACACAAATCAGGAAAATGTAAAATACGCGTGTAAGCTGGAAATCGATATAATGAAGACACCAGTTCATCCATGATAAATAAACAGATAAGAGCTTTCATCCAGACAAATAATTACTTGAAAGTAGTCTATTTTTGTTAATGTATTTACGGTCTTATTTTCACTCTTTTTGACAAATAGATTTTAGATGGTGAAATATGAATTTACATGCAATATATATATGTTCAATTTTACATCTAATATTCGTAGTTTATGCATTCAATTATTGTCCAACAAATAGGATTAACAGAATATATACACATTCATAGTGATTTTGTTTCATGTAATCTTAAAGCGTTGAGTTTTGTAAACAAAATAAAAGTAAAATAATTTTTTATGAGATTCACTCTTTTGGGAAACATAAAGTTAAAAAATCCTATGTTCGTTTGAAAAGTAACGAAAGAAATGCCAATACAACGAAATTTACTGTCATGACGTGAATCACATGAACCATAATTAAATTATGAGTTCCTTTCTTCTCAGGTTCATGCTCTTTATTTTTATCAAGGCTAGCAAAATAAAATTAGCGATTATCGTAAAATTCTCACGCAAATATACTTTGTTTTACCAAATCACTTACTATGGAACTAGGTGATCAAAGTGAAATTAAACCATACACCTCAAATGAATGATCAGTCAATAAAACGGGAAACCTCAGTTCAATTACGAGCATAATTCAAGCGCTTCTTGTAAGTCTCTACCATAACTATCCTTACTAACTCTTGAATATAAAATTCGGATTTTGTTTTCGTTGTTGGATTAAACTCCGTGTCATAAAGTTTCCCTTTTTACATACTAGCATTCAGAAAATATTTAAATCAGATTTTAGCATTCATAATTCCTAATTGTCTTTGTATAATTCCAAAGATATTACCCACTTTCATAATTCGTAAGAGAATATAACCGAGATTAAGCTTATTAATTACTTAACTCGGTGAATATCACTATACAGTACTTACAAACCAACCTGAAGACACCTGATCGCAGTCAAAATGATTAACCATATTTAAAACATTTAATAAACGCAGTGAAAAGTTTTCAGAGAATTTTTTAAAAGGTACTTCTATAATGCTTGACCACAATATTCAAATGAAAGTAATCACTGACTGCTTCAATGTAGTAATTTATTTATTATCAATTTTACTGCCAATTAACTTATCGGTATTTCCTTCTAACTTACAAATCTATCCAAGCGTAAATACCCATTACATTAAAAAAATACTCAGTAACAAACATTTTGGTAAGCCACAGTTTTTATTATAGTATTACTAATGATCATTGTTTACGACTACAGCTCTAGTGGTTATCACTTTCCAAATAATGACAATTTTAGCCAGTTTCCATTTGGGAATTGAAATCGCCGGGCGAATCATTAAAAAATCAGAGAGAACTGAATAGGAACGTCTAAGATATTTCATCGATTACTGTTATTCCGTGATGAAATATCATAAAAGCCACTTATCTGGAAAATATTAATTGTTCAACCGACTGATTGTTGGAAAAACTGACCTCTATTTAGGTGTTTCTGATCCATACTTCATAAGTAACAATTCATTCCACAAATTTTTAATAAGCATTGAAATGTCTATAAGTTGATAACTTAGAAAATATTTTGCCGTGAAATATAAATCACGTCTTTGCACTACAAAATTATTTATGGTGATTATTCAAAGTAAAATCACTACAACTACTCACGTGCAAGATTGTGAAGTTCTCCAAAACGGAATTCATTAATTCTCGCTGAGGCAATTGTAATAGCTTGCCAATAAATTTCTTCATATAATCACACATAGGACTACGTAAAAACCGATATACAAAACGTCCATTTTCGGGTCTAGGTTGTTCATCCTTGATTTTACAGCAAGAACAACAAAATATTGAACAATAAAATGAAACATTAAACAGGTGTCTTCTATTATACATGATATTACGTATTTAATGATGTTATTTGATAAAATATTAATATTCTGGCATGAACTGATTAAATACAAGCCAAATAATGAATTTAAACATACCAATGTAAATTTTTTCTTAACCTAAAGTCTTACAGACTCATCGTACATTACTTTACTAAAGACTGATGCCAAAAATACAGTTGGGGAGTATCACTGCAAATAAATAATAGCGAAATACACAATCTGAGTCAGTGGCATTTTCAGCAACTAATCATATTACAATGCGTGTACAGTGAATTTATCATTTAAAGCACGAGTTGCTATTTATACTTAATAGGATGCAAAATGTGTAGATTAATATTGGGATATGCGTTCGTTTAAATATTTGACCCATTCAACGACAAGACTTTATTGTTGGGACATGTTACCCTATGGAACGTCTTTATAAATTAATATATTCGGTTAATAACTCATAATACTCAGTAGTACATGACCTGAAAACTAGCTGCATTTTACCTTGATGATTTCATAAAATTTCAAGCATACAGATATTGACCATAAAGTTCACAATTTTCTAAAGATTGATAATATATTAGCGGTCGTTTGCAAACCATTACAGCAGTATCAACAAATGAACAGTAAATGTACACAGTGATCATAGTCAACTGATAATATAGCAACCTGAAAATTAATGCTGAGTGAATCTCGACATAGTGACTCAGACACCGGTTATCGAATTCCTGGGTTGTCACTTTCAATACCATTAATTATCTGAATTATATTCGGCGATCAGTGCCCTTGATGAGTACATTTATTCGGAGATAGTACTCGTTAAAAATTGATATCAACCAAAGAACCATTGGAAACCAAATAGCAATACACAGTTGCTTCATTTCATAGTCTGTATTCTCTATCAGCGAGGTCTAAATGCTCTGAATTAGGTCCTGCATTTCGTGGTTTGTGAAGGCTTCTGAAGAGTTTTAAACTATGATAAAACGCGTCTTTAACACTCCATGGTTTATAGTTATTTAATTTATTACATGAGCCATATTTAATCTATCCGACAATAATTCATTCCATTTTCATCTGTTTTCACAACATATTAAAATCTATTTTTAAATTCATTAAAGCTTTAAATTATTATAGGTGAATATGAACACTTGCCGTTAGTATGATGATTTACACTAGGTTTGGTGATATCCAAAGGCACGTTGTCTAATATGAATTCTCTCTAAAGTCTTTTACGTACTTAAACATGCACTCATTCACCATTTAAAAAATACAGTTTTATTCTGTGTATGAGAATAACAGCCTGTACTGAAATTGATTACAATATTAAATATGCTTATAACAAAACGTCAAGACAATTTTTATTATCGTGCTTAAAATGTATTTAATAATAAACGTTTCTGGTTTGTTTTTGAATGATTCATTAGATGAATTCGTACCCGTCTATATCATCACGCTGAGCTAATGGTAAACACACACACACATTCACTCAAACATATTAACGATTTACACTAGTAAGCAATGAGCCGGCTCGTACGCTTATCTGTGTAAATACATACACACAATTAGAATGATTATTAGTTTTTAATTTTACTAGTAGTAAACATAGAGACGTTATCAGTTTACTGAAAACATTTATAAAAAATGATATGAGAATAACTAAATATTTATTCTTCAAATTAATTACTTAAAGTAATTCATCACATTTAATAGTCATTGTTTTCTCGGAGAAAAAAAATGCTAGTAATGATAATAAACAAAATGAAGTTGGATTTCTTCTTATTAAGTACTAACTAGTTACAAAAATTGGTAAGCTTAAATACTGTGTAACTATCTAATCAATCAATGTTTCTAATAATGACACGTTATTAAGGAAATTGTAGTAATATTTACAATATAACATAATGACAGCATAATATAAAGAGAAGGAAAACCATGATTTTCATACCTCTATTTTTTCTAATACTTCTTTGCCAAATGAGCAAACTTTAGTTGATAAGTTAATTGGAACGTCTTCCGTACCCTCGAAACTAATAAAAAGGGAGCAAATAAGAGGATATCATCTAACAAGAATTTGCACATTGACATTCAGTAGAAATACTCCTTCCTGAAGTTGTTCAACTGTAATTCTCCTGTTTTAAGTGATTTTAAAGTACTGTAAGATGTAGTTTTGGTTACTTGGATAGTAGGATGTTAAAATTATATTCCTGGCTAACAAAGCTGTAGATGAAACTAGTCAATGTGACTTTTCACTATCTCTTTTATATGGTTTATATAAAAATAGAAACTTTTAAAGTTACTTTAACTAGTTAGTACAAAGTGACATTGTGTGTTTATGATGTTAACTGGATTATTTTAATCCCTTATTAATTGTAATGTATTCCTCTGTTTCTATTATTTTTCTTTATATTTTAAATTATCCATTGTTTCTGAATTCCACGCAAAATCTGTTACCATTATACAAGAGTCTGTTTATTATCCATCTCCACTACGAGCCTACTGTAAGGATTATTTCGTCCTAGTAAAGGGCCTAACACTAGTGTGAATCCATGGACCCACTAAAAGCATTCTAATATACATCCCGGTGCAAAGCAATGAAAACATGAGTGATTCAAGCAAATTGTGTATGATCTATCAATATAAAATTACTAAACATTGTTCAGTATAACCATCTCTAGCTAATCATCTTGATTAATAATGGTGATGAAGTAGTTAGAAATAAACACGTAAATCCCTTTCAATAGACTAATCAGTTGTTTTTGAACATATTTGTATTGAAACTTGAAAAGTATAAATCTCTATTACCAATGGAACGTAATTAGTGAGTCATTACATTATTGATTACGTTGTACAAGCTTAACTACCATGGATTGAAATATTGTAACGAATAGATTTAACTACTACAAAATATATTTGAGTTACATATTTTGCAGACTTTTAAACAGACATTATGTGATTTTTATGAATAAATCCATTGTCGTCGATTAAATATTCCTTCCGCTCTGAGGTAGGCAAACTTCCTGGTGTGTAAACTATGTTTTTAAACAGAGAACAATAGCATGGATCATTTTAAAACAAAGGTAACTGATAAAGAGACTACTAACAACAGTAATATCAATAAACATGCTCATCAATAATATAAACTCACATAGCTGACACAGCGAATGTGGCATCTGGTTCAACCATCACGTTGACATCAGCCTATATCCAGTAACGATTGGACGAACAAACATTACATGAAATAGAGAGAAAAATCACATTCACATTATGAAATGCACAACCATAATGATAACAATAAGGAAGAAAATCGTAAGATGGTGCATAATGTACACAAACACATAGGTACAACAACAATAATTGTTCTGCTTGTCTAAACTCACCATATAATAAACTGGTTAATGAGCAAATTATAGATCCTTCATCATGACAACAAAAATGTATTACATTCATTAACTGTGAACTAACATGAAATATTAGTATTTTTTCCGATTTAAATAAGAAAATCTAAATCATTTTAGTGAAAACAACATAGAAAAATTACAGTAAATAAACATTAATAAAGTAAGTAATGTCTCCACGACAACAACAAATAAAGATTACTTTGATAAAAACAACACAAAAGACATTGACTAACTTCTTATACCTTGTAAGACAAAACATACTTTGAAATACTATAGAAACAAGTAGAGCTTATAGGTGCAATTCGTAAACAGTTGAATCAATAAATTATCATCAATTCAACCAACTACTATTATAACATGATTTAGTAAATAAAATTTAACAACACACTATGATGCATTGACAATACTAATTTGAACAAAAAAACAACTGTATTGAGAACATTGAACAACATTAAAATAAAGTATACTTATGTATTGTTTTGTCATTAGCTATATTTAATATAGATTGGTAAATTCTATTATAAATCACCTTTATGAAAGATACATACAATAAACACGATGTTATTAAGTTTGTTTTATATTGTTTGTTGTTTATTTTTACTCTGCTGATGAAAATCATTACATGAGATGTTGAAATTCCAAATGAAATAGTAGACAACAGAAATTTCTGGTTTGAAAGATTATGCTTGAAGAAAAATGGTAAACAACATTTACAAATACCATTGAAAAAGTGTAAATAAAATTTATTGAAGTATAAATATATACATATAAATATATTTGATTCCCTCCTTATTTATTGACAGTGAAAAAAAGTTTGTAGAATGTATTTACTCTTCTCTTTCATCAGACCTTTCAGCATTGTCAAATCACCTAAATTTAAGTATGGTCGGATACAAAAGTATGATATCATTTAGGTTGGGTAGTTGCGACATGATTTTGTCTTATTCCTCTGAAACGTTATTTTACTTCAAACTCCAATCTCAGTTTCACGAACAGAAATATGCAAGACAATTAACAAGATGGAAATCAAATTATTCAAAATAATAGTGTCAGTGATAGTGAAAACTAATCGGGTAAATTAATCCTAAAAAACCAATAAATACTGAGCATGAAAAGTATGGATTAAAAATAACACTGAAAATCTCAAGTAACATAAAAAAAATCGGATCTATGCTGTTGTTTACAATGTTAATCAACGACGTGTTGAAGGTTTTTGCAATTGGCTCTGCTTAACAGAATTTGTATGACAGTATGTGATACCGTGGGACTGTATGAATCAAAGTCGATCAAATGGGCTGAGAACTTGTATCCCATTGATTATTTAAGAAAGACATGGTTTTAATTATATGTGCGTACTGGCCACTTCAGTAACCTCAACGAATAAAAAATTAAAAAGTAAACGTTTTATGTCGTTGAAATTATTCAGAGACGTCTGAGATTGTACTATACTGTTTGATTATCTTTCATTACATAATTTGAAGACAAACGTCGATTATTAAGCTTTGGTCATTAATATTTACAACTCAATTTTTCAACATCACTGTAATGATATATGATATGACTCGATCAGAAAATACAGATTTAATGAATAAACCATTAATGGCTCTCAAATTTTAACACACATACACTATTGAAAGCTTTGTTTAAAAAAATAAACCAAGATGAAATTTCTATTGAATCACATACATTGTAAATACAAATACTATCTGTGGACGTTAATTCGCAATTTTTTCGCTTTACATACTACACTTTGACTTATGTCCGATTATGGAAAATATAAGCTAATTTTCATTTCATTCTTATTATTTTTATACTAATTATTGTGAACTTTTAAAACACTTCATAGATGATTTTCTTTATAAAGGTTTGGCTGTTCTTGCTTCCTATATTCAGGACTGAAATGATCAGTTTCTGTTGGCACATGAGCTTCAGAGACAGTTTTCATGGCATATCCTGAATTTGTATGGAGATAACAGTTTCGATAATTTACAACAATATAAACCGAGTGGACATAAATAAGTATATTTAAATGACCAGTTGCAAGTAGGATGAAAACTAAACCTAGATTTTCCATGATAGTCTCTACTAAAAATACATGATCATTAAGTCACTCTTCGGTCACATCCAGAACTACTGAACTAAAATCTAGTTTTCAAAACTCGTTTTAAATGGTCAAAAATAAGTCAACTAAATTACTATTTGACATGTATAGATATCTCAACTTCTTCAAACATGCAAGGAAGTTAAAAAGCACCGGTATAATTTGCTAATAGCTTCCTGATTAAGGTATCTACTTCATTATATGTTTATTTTTGTGATATTGTTAAAGTAAATCTTGTTTCACTTCAGCTAAAATACACACTGGATCATTGTTTGTATCCGTTAAGGTGTGTTCATTTCATTTATGTACAAAGGAGTTTTATTAAACAAAAGCCTTAAGAAATCCAAAATGTAATTGTTTTTTTAATAATATTTATCTCTATTTTTGTTTACTAACCTCAAACAGTCAAAATAAAGCGGCTGTTAACAAAATTATGAAAATCGAAGTAACTCGAAGTAACAAAAAACAAACTGGCTAACTGAAAATTTATGAATTTAACATGATTTTAAGGCGTTATACATTAGTAAACAAGCGAAAAAAAGTGAAAACAATACAAAAAATTCTATTGAAAATTTCTTCTGAAAAGTAAATACATTTCAGCATGAAACTACATACGTGAAGTGTTTAGGTAAAATAAACCAGGTAATAGTCTATCCAAAATAGTTTGTGATAAAATATTTTTAATCTAACTAAAACAGATGAAAAGAAGAGTGAAATTCACTCAAAATAGATTGAAGGATCACAGTTTAACATTAGATATTACACATTCGCATAAATTTTGTTTGTGAGTTTCCGTAACTATAAGTAGGGTGAACACTGATTAACATGATTAATCGAAGATAACTAGTTTTTTACAGCAATGTTCCCTAGTTAGATTATAGTAATATAAAATTTCTATGAACAGCATGCTTCTTTTATACTAAGATCATGAGCATTGATTCAAGTCACAAAAACCGATTGGAATTTCAGTTAACTTTATTTATTCATTTGAAAGAGCTAAACAGATGGAGACAGAAATTTTATCGGTTCGTACTTTGCGGTGAATCAGATTAAATAAAATCCTTCTAAGCTAATCACAACACTATATTCTAAAGTTTCTATGAATAACATTGGTATTATTTTTAATTCTTAATCACCTACTGAGTATCGAAAGTAATCAGACTCAAAATTCTCAATTTTAAGAAATTATTAAGTTTTTAGAATTTTTTTTAAAAATAAATTAGGTCCGCTTCTATCACATTTTATTTATTTGTCTGGAACTACTCTCGTGAAATTATTTATACAAATAAACTAATATATAGAAAGCATTAAAATAATCAGTAGCACACAGCATGAAAAGATTTTTCTTTACTGGTCATCGCTTTTTTGTATGTTAAAATTATTTTCATATTAATAATAATATGAAGTAGGATATTTGAAAGTTCAAATTATGTGTATAATTTTATACATGATCAACCTTTCTATCCATCTATCAATCCATTACAAAGAAAGGAATGAATTCATCCATTATTTTAGTTCTCATGTTTTTTTGCGTACTTTATGTAATTAATCAATTAGTTAATTTGTTTATTTACTATTTTATAATTTTTACTGAATGATTGTTAAACATTAACATTTCATCACCATCATCATCATCATTTATAACTAACATATTTTTAGAAACCATTTTAAGTCAATCGTAGTAACTATTGAATATTACTTTCTCACTGAACATGTTTCCACGTTGAAATGGTTTGATCTGAAGTCTACTAGAATAATATCAAAAACAAGGAAGCATTAAACGACAAAGACAGAAATCCTCTTCCACGATAGCTTGAGTGATAGAACTTTGAAACCGGTTCAACATGATTAGGTATTGTGAAAACGCCAAACCGAAAGGAGGAAACAACTATTTAATTTCTGTTAATTTTCAGTAGTTCTCCAGTTGACATCAGTTAATGATAAAAATTGTCTTCGAAATAAACAAAACATTCCACCAAACCATCTGACTTAAAATTGTAGATAATCACTTTCAAATAAAACATAAACTAAGTAATTATTTAAACTGCCGTTTTAGATTTACATCGGTGTGTATAAAATATGACATATATATTTACGTCATATGTGAAAGTTTATTACTAAACTCATCTAACTGTTACAGTGATATTCAATGCATAGACTAGAAACAAACACAGAAGTTATCAAGCTCATCAGAACATGAGCACAAGATACTTCCAGCTATTATAATTCTCTGAAAACTGACATAAATCAGTAACCACTTTAAATAATAAGAAATATCTCCATTATCTCCATTATGTAATTATGAACTACTTTTAGTTTAGTTAACAAAATACAATACTTATAACATTTGTTACCTTAAACTTAATCTTTGTTCAATCTTGAACCCTAAGTGCTAATTGACCTTGACAATAATATTGCATAATCCTATAATCAGTTGTCAAAGTAACTGTCAATTGTTATCAGACCTCTTCATGTATATTACACAGAATTTGATACACGTCCAAATAGTTTTAGTGAGTATGCACAATCAATAAGTATAGCTTTTATTGAAGACGTTTAATACTAGCCTATAACCTGTTTTCATAAATATCAATATACAAAGCCCTAAAAAATACAATTTCCTGAAATTGTATTTTTTACTGTGCTCATAATTAAAACTGAAACAATAGTTTACATGACAATGCTTAAACTCTAAAACATCTCGACCAACATGGAAATAGCCTACAAGTTTAGAACAGTAATTATGGATGACTGATGATTATCATAGAAAAAATCGAAATGAGGGAAAGCATAAGTTTCCATACGAAGAACACTATAGAAGTAGTATGAGTTCTCAAATGGCTTTTCTTAGAAAAAAATAATTCAGTAGTAATAGAATATAATATTTATCAATAAATAATCCCTTCATTTTTATAAGCATTAAATCAGAAATCATTTGGTATCTAACCGACATACATCGATTGGATCACATGCTTTAATAAGGTAATTGCTAAAATTCAACAATCGTAATAGTCAAGTTGTCAGTACTTGTTTCAGGTATTCGGTTAAAATCTCCGATAGAAAGTCAAAGCCATAAAACCTATCATTTAGTTTGATTTATGTGGTGTCGAATAATTTAGAATGGATTTGAAGATTCTATACACTTAGGTTTCTTTGATATAGACATTTAACTTAAAGTAACCATAAATTAATTCTTCGATATATCGACGCTATTAAAAATTCAATTAACTGAATGTCAACGAGCACAAAGCTATAATCCAAAGTTTTGTATAAAGTAACTCTGTACACAAACTATAAAATAAAGTTAGAAAAATTTCCCCTATATTAGCATTCATTCAATTTGAAGTGAAAAACGTGAAGATTAAAAAAACTCAACTTCCATGTGACTGGATAAAAATAAAAATGCAAAATTCTTTACTAATTGTTTGGCTGGTGATTTCATTAGTCAGTCAGTCAAACGCAACGTAGAACTATGTGCCTCTGTACATTGATTCAAGTAACCATATCTCATAAGCATACGGAAATGAATTTATTAGGAGAAATCTCAGAGTAGTAGGGTAGTAACATTATTAATTGTAATAGAAAATATTATCCATCGAACATTCACTTCGGAAAAATATAAATTGGTGAAATAAAAACATTACGAGCAATACAGCGGCTAAGAATCTGGAGGAAGATGAAAAGTAAATGCACCTGTGCCATTCCAAATAATTTTGAGCCATGTCATTTAAAGTTTCTAATCACTAATACGATAATCACACAGGCCTCAACTAGCTGGTCTACACCTATTAAAATAGCTCAGCTGAATCGTCAATGAACTCACGAACTAGTATGTATCATTACCAAGGTTTGATTTGATAATTTCGAATAAATTGAGCATTGGGTAGATTGTTATAAATAAATAATATACTTATCACGGACTAGTGCCTTGTTTTGGTTATATCAATGCAAACTCAAGCAGACCATCACATAACCATAATTTTTATTTATAGTTCTCTACATTTCGTTTTAAGATAAAATAATAAGCCCCTGACCTTTTACAGAACAAATGTTTTACAGTCAAAACATACCCAGAATTTAACCAAAAAGAATGTATTCATAGGTCCATGTTCCATAAGTTCTTTTAGGCTGTCTTCAGGAAATTTATCCCAGATTTGACTTGCATCTACTTGCTCCAAATTTGGGTCAGTGTATAATTGCTCGTTTAAAATGGGTCCAATGTGAACAAAATTGTGTACAACCGTCGTCGATTTAGGGGTTGTAGTTAAATGAAAATCATGTGTATGAGTTCCCTGTCGTAAAATCAAGGACAAAGAAGACATTTAATTAGCTATTCCTGAAAAGAACGTAATGATAGTCATGGGCTTTATCTTACAATTCTGTATAAGAAAACTATTAAATTATCACATACAACATAAGATATTTTGTAGATGTGGTGAATGGACAAAAATGTGCTATAGAAATCAATCTTGTGAATATATATAACGTAGTAGAACTGAAGGGTTTTTGAGATAATAAAGATGTAATTATCTGTAGTCAGTAAAATGTCATTGTTATGATGTACTCCTGATTCTATTACTCATTACATGACCACATCGAGAAACTATGAATATGTGAAATTGTATTGACCAAGTTTCTTGTGTCAGTGAATTCATGAATAGCAACTTCTCACAGTTTTTGTTTACAAAGGAGTACAATAACTATGTTTTGAAATTCCATGTTTGCAGTCTCAATATCCTAAAAATAATGCTAAGTAGAAATTTGTTTAACTTTAAAGGCTTTTTTAAAAGAAACCATAAAACTGTGCAACCAATCATCTCAAAATGATGGAAGATGAAATTCTGTGCATACATTCAATGACATGCACCGTTGCTCATGAAAACAAAGAAGTTATTATATGAAAAATAATAAAACATGTAGTTCTGAATTTAATGCAATAATTTAGCCATCAAGAAAGAAATAGTGTTTGCTTAGCATAATAAGCACTTTTTCTTCCTTTAGTATTTTACGACAAAGTTTTTATATCTAAAAAAACTGTGTGCTTTAAGATTGCTGCATATTACAAAAATATTCATTTAAGTCCAAATTTATTAATGGTTGGTTATATTTAATACATTAATATTCGGGTTTGTCATCAATACCTGGCACATAATAAGATGTATATTCATTTTTGTCATTATTCATATAGAAGTGTCATTAGCAAAACACATTATAAGCTGTACATTAACCCTCCAACTGTTCTTCTAATAAAATTTACTTAATCATTTTCACAGTTAATTTAAGGTGTAATTTGTGAACTACAACAAACAACTTGCTAGTTGATTAGATAACCAGATGAATATATGGCTTTTCAATATATATTGGTTTGACTACAATAATCACAAATTATTTACAGATGATAAATAAGTGTATTAGATTATGCCTTATGCATTAAGAAATTGACAAATATTGAATCCCATTTTCACTCATACAGGCCTACACTTATGAGTTTTTACAATACTTGGATTGTCAGGATGCCAGACGTGTCCTCACCGTGAATCACCATCACCTATTTATGCGTATGAATTTTATGAAAGGTCGAAGTTAATTCACCTAACATTTACCAGAAAAGGCTTGTTCTGAAAAAGGAAAATAACACAGCGCTAATCATATATATATATATATAACATCACATAATGGACTTCCACTACTTTTTATTAAAATATTAAATTTCTTTCAAGGTATTGAATTGTGAAAGGAAATTCCTTTGAACTGGTGTAAATGAATCTGATAAATTTAATTGTATTATTAACAAGAAAGCATGGTGTGTACATTTTATTCTGTGTTTTGCCAATTAAGGATTAAAAATCAGAATATATTCGCTTAATAATTCGTAATACAACTAATCCACACATATAGTTAACCACCTGGCAGCTTATTCAGTTTTCATTGAGATCATTCATCAATCAATGTTAAACCACCACTGAAAATCTAAAAGCACTGAACGGCCGTTTCGTCTAAATCCACAGTCCTGCACGCAGGACTTGATGGTCTAACACTGATCGTTTCATGATCTCAATAAATGTTCAACAATCTCCACAACTCTATACTGATAATTATTATTTGTTCACTGGTGACTAGTTCCAAGAAGTAATTCTCGGAGTTCTACTGAGAAGTCGTAACCAGTGGAGTTCAACTGTGTTGGGTGTGGGACAGTCGCTCACTGAAGATAATAGATGATCGAGCAATATCGTGGATTGATTGAAGTTAAACATTAACAATGTTGGATACCGACCCACTGTTATAGAGGTTAAGCGTTCAAATGAAGATGAAGGTCCATAGTTCAAGTCCCGCGTGCGGGATTGTGAAAAGTCACTACCAAGGAGCCCCACACTGGGACGAAGTGGCCATCCAGTGCTTCCAGGTCTTCAACGATGGCTTAGAATTTATTCAAAGTTATTGAATGTATAAGATAACAGATTCACTCACATCGTTTCGATGAAAATTTTCTCCACATTTCAATGTTATATATATATATATATATATATATATATATATATATATATACGCGCACAGTTTGTTATAAGCAAAGTATATTCATAAGCTCATATGGCGTCGTTTATTTTCAAAAGCAACTAAATATAACAGTCACTTAGGTTTGAAAAATAGGAAGAAATAAGCAATCAGGAATTTGTTTTTATTTTTTATTTATATATACAAAGTCAATGAATGTAGCATACCATTCTCTGAAAAAAGAGAGAAATGTTACGTCATAATTTGGTCTATATTTATGATTACCCGTAAACTAATATCATGTGCTCACGCCGACATGTGCACCCAGGTCAAAGATAATCTTATTTTAAAAAAACGTATTAAAAACACATCTACTAATCAATAAATAAGTAAATATACAGACAATTAAATTTAATGATTCCCCGATTAGTTTTGATTTCACTAATAAACTCAGACAATTTAGTGTTTTGATTTGCCGCTTCATCAGAATAGCATGTCTTTTACTCTTAAAATGAATAATTGTTATGATAATGAAAATAGAAAAGGTAGAAAACTTAATCAAAAGGTTGTGGTTGTTTCAAAGGACCTAAGGTAAAACAACTTATTTTTCCATTGTCACTTATAGAGGCTATTAGAAATAGATTTTTAACTATATTACTAAAACCTTTTATTGAAATCTGCTTCAAAACTATTTAAAACGGCATATCTACAGCTATACTTTAGTATAGACATGATGATCACTAAATAAAGTGTTAAGTATTTAGAATATCTTCAAACTCTCATAAAAGTCAACCGCTTTTAACAAATAAACTATGACAAACAAAGACAAAGAAGTGTAAAGTATTTTACCAGTTGATAATTAATGAATAAGTGTATTAGACAAACGGTTATTAAGTTTGAGTTGAACATGATTATCATTATTATGTAAACTCTCAGAACTCTAACTTCACAAACGTTTAGAGATTCATCATGATATGGGTTAAAATGATTATATTAGCTTGACATTTTTGTGATCTGTGGGTAAGAAACAATTACTAGTAGATGATAGTGCAAAACAGTAGTGTTACACAGTACGCTGAATGAAGCTAAGAAACAGTATCCATAACCTATCTAAAAATATTTCCCAAACCCATCTATTCTTGAGAGAATCAAGAAGAAGCAGTAACTATTACCTGAACAATAACGCCGACGCAGTTTATATAATTATTTACTTCTCAAAGGCAAACAAATAACTTATGTGAGTCGCTGATAGAAATTTATTTGAGAATACCTCTAATAGAGCTAGATTTAAATAGACGTAATATATAAATACTACCAAGACTATCCTCCTAGTTGATAAAACATGTCTTTTGTTGTTTAATCACAGATAACATCCGGTTATAAGCTTCATCAGGTGATTTAATAATTCTTACTAACAATATAAAAAAGATGTTTTCTATACTGAGACAATGATTATTGGGTGATATAATTGTATTGTATTTTCTTTTATCATTCATACCCGGATTGCTGAAATTTGCATAAATTTGATGATGCCAAGTTGATTTAATTTCAGGAGTTATTTTACGATAGTAAAATGTAATCAAATCTAAGTTAATTTTATCCTTCAACACAATTAATATCGTGATGATCATTACTTTTACTATTAATAGTGGGAACAATTTTATATTCAGGCCAGTAGAAGTTAATGTAGTAAATCGATCAGGTAGTTTGCTGGATAGATTCACGGATTGGTAACTGGGATAGTCATTCATATACACATAAACTGTGTGTTATTTTGTGACTGGGCTTATATGGATGGCGTATATATATATATATATATATATATATATATATATATATGTCTAAACAAATTTTAGGTTCTAAACTAGCCTAATGTTCAATAGGTGTAAAAGTCATACAAGGAAAGAGAAAACGTAAAATTTAACTATCCATGGGTAGGCACACATGCAAACGGAGTAAAAACGCCGAGATACAGTTACATGAATTATACTGGCACACAGCTGTAATTTCTTTTTTCAGATAAATCTAAACGTAATTGTATATTGCTTCCCTAGTTTTTTTTATTATTTCACTTAGTCCATTTTGTAAGAAACATTTATATAGAGAGAAATATATATGTAAATGAACACGTGAATACACTGAATGCAAGCACATTTCGTAGGTTGAATCGTAGGTGGGAAAATAGTACTACTTTTTGTCAGCCAGATGAGCCAACCAAAACGAAAACACAAAAAATAGGAACATTGAAGAACCTCATTAAATTGGCATAAACTAAATTTTACGTTAGTAAATATGGATCATGTTTGATATATGACAGGTATCTGGAACTGAATTTTATTGAGTTTGAATATGTTGGTCGCTCTAAATTATTAATGAATAGTAAATTTGTGTTAATGACCCATACCAATAAATTCAGTCAGTATACAATGGGTTAAGTAACACGTTTTGATGAAGTATCGGATTCTAATCAAGCAGTTTATAGATAAGTTAAAATTAAATTGGCATTAAATAACGAAACGTTAGAAAGAATGACCAAATTATTCGTCTATAGGTCAAGCATTCGGGCGTGAAACCAAAGGTCCGGGTTCCAGTTCCTGGTTTTGAGGTCGTGAATGCACACTGCTGAGGAGTCCCATCCAGTGCTTTCATGTTTTCAACGGTTATCTAACTTAGACCAGTTCGCCATTTCGATGTTATTACCAGGTTGCAAAATATATTCGTAACATTATAATTTAGATACCTAACATAAGAAACCAATTTATACTTAAGTACTGAATATTGTTTGCCAGTTAATTTCCAATGAGTTTTATGGTACATGACAGTATTTGTGTCAGACGACACTGCTTAGCTCTTATTAAAAACAAGGACAATGGTATTTCTATCTAGATAGTCTTATTTAATGCATATGACTAATTTATTTTTCTCCAGAACTCATAAACATTAAATATCTTAGTAATCATTCTAGCATTAAGAGTCCTGCAACTAAATGATCATTATCTACCATTTAAAGATAGTATTTGAATATATATCCAATACCATGATGAAGAAACATGATGACGTTTTTGAAATGTATAATATTGTACAGAACGTCCAGAGGTGATCCCATTTTCTTGAATTAAATGAGATTAATAAGACTAATCAGCAAAATGAGGTTCACAGGTTCAAAATTATGTCACTTGCAAAACCTTGAAATATGGTAAATTGCGTCAAGAACGGGACTATTCTCTATACTATCAAAGAGTCTCATAAAAGTTTACAAATTAAATTCAGTCTGACCGATTTCAAAGGACTGATGAAATTGTGTTTCTTTATGATAAAATAATTTAAGCACTATATTTACTATAAAGAAAGTGGAAGTAGGTTTAAACTACGATAATAAAACAATAAATAACTGCGAATTGTATTAACTTACATTGGACTGGGATTTCGACGTTGAACTTATCATGTAGGCACTTAATTCAACCAATCTCATTTTAGGTGCTGTAACTGATCGTCCCATCCATTTGGGTATGTTGATATTTTTTAAATCCTCTGGTGTTGTATTGGTAACCATAGTGGAAACATTTACATTTGGCAGTGATATATTTTTCTCTGCACTCTAGAAATTTTTTATGGAATACAAAATAGATAGTAAATGAACTTACCTCTACAATCATTTTTCTAGAATATTTCGGGGAATCTGAAATAGAATCATCGCTATCCCTTGAAGGATTCATTGAAGAATAAGAAATTTCTCGTAAGAAATTCATTGTTCCATCATCACTTAGTTGTTTATTAGTAGTTGCTAATGCATTTGCAATTAAATCACTATAATTGTTATTGTTATTACGGTGAGCATGATTAACATTTAATTGTTCTATTAAAACTGGATTTTGTTTAGGTACAACTGTCGAAGGAAATGTATTTATATTTGATTTAGCTGACAGTACAGACGCATGATGAGATGATGATGGTGATGATGATGATGATGACAGTAAAGAATTTGTTGGCCATAAAACAGATGTTATTGATGTACATTGTTGTTCATAGGTTGCAACTGAAGCAACATGTGCAGCTGCCATTGCTACGGATGCTGATGCTGATGGTGTGGTTGACGTCATTGAAGAGCCTAGTGAATTAGGCACTGAAAGAGTTGATGTAAAACTCGGTACTGAGGATAATGAAGAGATTGACGAGCAATTTGAGGAGGATATGGAAGAATCAATATTATTGTTGATAGTGGCAGTATTATTATGTATTTTTTGAGGAATCGCGTTATTACTATCATTATTATTGTTATAGTGATTAGATGGACAGTATAATAACTGACCAACTGATGTTTTGACAAGAACTAGTCCGTCAGGTTGTAAATTTGGTAATATAACAGAGGAATTATTTATTGGTAATGTGGATTGTAAACGATTACCATTATTTACTAAAGATGAAGTTGATGGAGAAGACGACTGATTTCGATGATCATTTGAAGTGATTGTCATAAGGTTATCTAACGCCAAGGGAAAATTTAGTTGTTTTGAATCGATTTCGTGTTGCTGTTTACTGTCGACAGGTCCAAGAAGTTTGTTATGCAAATCTAATGTATCCGAATTTCGACTGAATAAATTTGACTGTTGTTGAGATCTCAAGGCTAAAAATGCCTCATATGGATAAGATAACTGTGAACTATCATTATTCATCATATTTCCTTGTTGTCTTATATCAAATGAATACGGTGGTAAAGATGAATTTACAGGAAGAAGATGGGCTAGTGTAGCTTGACTAGAGGGATTTAAATTGATATGATTATATTGAGTCGTTTTATCATCTTGTATTACTGTAGAAAATGAACAGTTTTCTTAAAAGGAAAAAGCAAAAATCTTTCATTCAACTTAGAAAAAATCAAAATATATCAAAATTTACTGTAATAGAAGCAAATTTGTTTACAGACTGATATCAGCTGAAGAATAATTTTAAAAAATAACATTGTGGTGAGGAATTGAGTTTTTTTTAATTATATAATGACAACTTGGTGTCAAAAATGAACTCAAGTTGAAAATATCGATATTGAATAATTGAAAGACCTATTACTCAGTGGAAAACAGAGTGTATTATTGGTGTCTTTATACTGTCATATCTATCAGGAGTTTAGACTGTCGATTAAACTATAAACTGAAATTCAAAATTTCCCTTGTTTTTCTTTAGATAAGCATCTAAACCATTTCGATTTTTGAAAATTCAAACGAATGACGACATTATTAATAGTAAGTAAACTATGATTGTGGATGCGCACTACTGAGGAGTCTCATACTAGAACGAAACGGCAGTCTAGTGCTACCAGGTTTTCCGTGGTGATCTAGACTTGATCGACTGACTCATGAATTCAACTACTAAACTATCAAGTATTTATTTATTTATTTCAAAGACTACATCAAGTAATATCAGTAATTAACAGAAAAATTGGTCAAATGTATATTGGTCAAAGTCATATAAATTAGATATATATACAGTTTTCTTTTTCCAATGTGTTAATAACTAAGAATGTTATTCCGTATTGGGATGTTCTTTTACGGTTATCACATTTATACTGACTTAGTGACAATTTATTTACTGAAAACACTATACTGAAGTCCTACACCATTCAGCCTTACAGATTACCAGCCTTTTACAAGTTACGGAATTTCCAAATGGCATTAAAAGTGTACTCATCAGATTCATTTCTACATAACGTTGAATAGTATGAAGTACCTAATAGACCTGTTTTATCAATAAGAAATTTCAATACAATATATGTATACACTTTTCCATTCATAAATAAATAGTTAACAGCATATATTACGGCTAATTTATACAATCTATGTAATGTTGTCGTATCCCGTCTCTGTATAACCTCGATAAAATAAAAGTATCATGTAAACGAGCAAAAATTAGTCAATTTATACCCTTGTATGATATAACTTACCTTGAGATTTACCTTTAACTAAATTTTTATTACTAATTGTAAAATTGTTTTGAACATTATTATTGATAGCTGTTGAAGAGGGGTATTTATGTAGATTTTCAAGATATAAACCATTACTTTTATTCTTTAATTCTCTATTATTAGAATGTATAAGATCATTAATATGAGGACTTCTATCAGTGACAATATCTTCAACAATTAAACTATGCATATCACTTCGATTATTTGTCATATTCAAAGGATGTGAATTTGACATTTTAATTTCATTGATCTTCTCATCGTCTGTTGATGGATGAATTCCAGATGATGTCACTGGTAATCCACCAGATGTTGAGATAGACGGTAACGTTTTGGAACCAAGCACTCCTGCAGATACAATTTGTGCGGAACTGAGCATTGAAAGATGCATAATAGCTCGTTGTTTCGTATCAGGATCCTTAATCTGAGCTTGAAGTTCTTTAGATTTTCGACGAGCCAAAACTTGAATGTGACTTGAAACTTGTTTTCTGCTTCGAATCTTTCCAGTGTGTTGATATATATATCTAGCAATTAATTCATTTCGTCCTGTCACATTAAGAAGAAAATACACAACTGTATATTTTAAAAAGAATAAAATGGATATAGTTGTGGACATGATTTATCCACTTAGCATTAACAAATTCGAAAATACGAACTTCACAGAGTATATCTCAAAGCTAATAAACATTATGTTGACTGGAAATTAAAAATAACTCGGCTGAGATAAGTATACATATGATTGTTTGACAAACTCAATATCACAAGGATAATGAGAAATATTAACTTATATTTCAACTAGATGAAGAGAATTTGCTTAGACGACAGACTTTAGCGTTTAGTGAAAACTGTTTTCAAATTAAAATGAATAATTTCACAGGCTACCCACATAATAATAATAATAACAATAATAATAATAATAATAATAATAATAATAATAACCCTACAACTACTGCTAATAATAATTGCAATGTTAAACGTATTACTAGATAACATTTAACTGGTATTTCCGACAACTCAGTGTTAAATGGTAACAGAACAGTTACCATTGACAGCATTGAGTAATGTTTGTACTATATTACGAACCGATAGAAACTGAAAATATAGACAACTAATTTCCTAATGAATTGTCTAATAGGTTTGCGCCCACTCAGAAAATTGGGGGTCATATATTATATTCTGTTTAGATTTTAACTGTCAACAACCGAATGGTCTCGAATTCAAGTGAAACACCCGTCAAGTGACCCATAATTTTCAATTGTTTTCCAGTTAGTATCATTTAGTAAAGAAACACGATTTTCATGGGACCTATTTTAGGCATTTTTTTTTCTTGAATTCAACTGCTTTTTCATATTCTGCTTTGCTTCTTTGGATGGTAAATTTTTACGGGAATGATTTCGTACACCTTTAATAATTTTCGTCTTCACCTATAAAACTAAATGCAAATGAGTATAATATAGCAAAACTTTAGATGTTTCACTTCAATATACAGATGAATTTTCAAAGCCTTCAAGAATATTGTGTTTTATTTCCTAGTTTTGTAATGTTCAACAAAGCAGACATATACTCTCTTAAACTATAAAACGATGAACTACGACAATTTAATTTAAGCTATTATTTGGTATTTCAATAATTACAGTTTACCCATCCAAATCTCTTCAAATTTTCAGAACTTAGGAGATACTATTTGTTGTATATTTAGTTTTATTTGATCATTGTCAATCATTTTTCTAAAGTGAGAATTTATTTAGACAATTAAATGGAATAAGCTCTAGTTCACTTCTAATCATACTATACATTTTGAATAAAAACAGCGGATAGTATGAATCAAGAGGGATGAATGCAATTATTGAATAATCTTTGTTTACTGTAACTTAGCCTAACTATAACGTGTTGATGTAACTAAGACCAAGTATTGAATAATTCCTTTTATACATTATTATATGTACGGTTAACAATTTTTTTATTTGTATATTCTGTGCGTAATCAGTTATGCTTCAGCTGAATCACTTGGACTTATTTTTTTAGGCGCATCCCCCACATTAAAGTAGTTAGGATTGGTTCATGAAAATGTCAGAAAATTTATTATAAATGTCCTGAATAGAACACAAGGAACATTATTAATCTTTCTCCCGAGGCTGATGTGACATACTCTTTGTGGCCATGTATCCGTTTGGCAAATTGTTTTCTTTAAATTATTGACAAAATAATCATCCAAGTGTACATAACTCTAGGATCATTTGTCAATGGTTTTATAATTTTAATTATCACTTAATAATACCTGATGTAAAGATTTGTCAATTAATTTATATAATATCAGTTTACAAACCTCCAGTTATTAAGTTCGATTTACTTTAGTTTCAACATTCAGGAAGTGTGTTTAAGTATTCCCAGGTCTAACACCTAACTCCGATTGAAGACACAGAAGAAAGAACATTACTCTAAAATTTCGAATAACTTTATTCATGAGAACGATAAAATATGGATGGTAGTTACAACAAAGTTATTGGTTAAGCATAAATTGAATGACATATTTCCCTTACAATCTATTATTATTAACAGCAAATCAAATGGTCCTTTAGCAGTTTTATACCATAAGCTATTTAACTTGAAAACAGTATGGATATTTTTTAAACAACTGGTTAAATAATTAAGGTATCTTGTAAAAAAACTATAAACCACTCTATTCCAAGTTAATGAGTTCCATTAGAAGATAAAACCTAATTTATTCTTAAAGTATTTCAATGTAGATTTGCCTTCAATTACAAACACTTCAAGTATTTGTTGACTAAATACATGAGCCATCCAACTTTCATATTTGGTATAAAAATACAAAATTACAAGTACCTATTTAATGGATTAGTGTAAAACATATTGAAATAATTAATTATTTTCAGTTTAAGGTACACCCTTTTTTTGCTTTTTTTTGTACAGGTTAATTTGGAAATAGAACAAACAAAATTATGTGACAACACCTTTTATTAGATAAATTCCATCACTTACTTAATAAAACAGATAAAAGGTAGATATAATTAGACATATATTAAGTTGCCGAATTATTTTTAGCTTACTATGAATGAATGTGTGAATACAATCCATGTCTACTTGAATTTTTCTTTTTAAATCGTTAAAATATGTGTATATTGAAAGTGTGAAGTTTGATAAAGTTGATGCAGTATGAACTTCAGTAAAAGTGAAATAGTGTTTGAATTTAGTAAGATTTATCCGGTAAGCACATGAATAGACTTCACACTTTAGATGAGTGACATAGACTACTATATAAAATTAAATAATTGTTATTTGTGTTGTGAAATCAGATACATGTATTGTGAATATATACTGATTATCTAACCCTATTACGTGTAATCTTAGTAAAGAATAAGAAAGTTTTGAAGTAACTAAATTAAAACAGAATAATTTTATTTAATTATTAATTTTTCAAATAATACCCGACTGAAATATAATGCAAATGAAAACTTCGAATATTCAGTCAGTCAGTCAGTCAGCTACAACGTAGGACCAGGCACATATATGCATCGGTCTAGGTTGCCATACCTCATTAGCACAGAAAGATGAACACCGGATTCATAGCAGTGGTTAGGTCAAAGGTGGTAATATATAGGAGAAAGATTGCATATAAGGATACAGTACAGGAAGAAAGAATTAGTTAGTAGAAAGAAAGATATGAAGTGATTTTAATCTCTTAGTTTAAGGGAAGACAGAGAGTGTATACACCTACGCCATTGTGATCGATTCTGAGTCATAATGTTCAAGACGATTGTCCAAATCAGTCACTTTAAAATCTAATATGCGGTCATTAAATTCAATTGATATTCTTTGTTTGATTCTCTTATTTCCTTGATACAGTGAGTCTTCCTGCTCAACTTAAGTAAATCATCTGAAAAGTCAACAGATAATCAAAAAGTTTCCACTAGGAAATAAATAACTGATACTTATTCTTTTTATAGTTACATTTACACCAAAGTTAAGTATCCATTTAGGGCTTATAATGAGATGATAAGAAATCATCAATACATGCAAATTACATGGTGATTTATACTTTTAACCTGTTATCTAGATATCTTTAATAGCTACCGCACACAATAAAAATTTACATCCTTTCAATTGGGTACTAGTAGTAGGAAAACGAAATTGATCATTTCTCACGCAACACAAATAAAAAGAATTTACAGCGTTATTGTTATGGATAGAGAATTAAATATTACAACGAAAATATCGATCGAAGGACAGTGACATAGCTAGATTTGTTGACAAAAATTTAAAACTCGAATCTTTAATGTCAGTACTAAAGAGAATGTTTCATATGAGCATTGAATCTGAAGGTGATAAAGTTGCAGATATTTCGAAGATCAGGATTTCCATCTCTCTCAAAATAACATACTTGGAATCAACTCTAACGGTAGTGCTCTCCAGTCTTTCTATATTCACTAGTAGCCTTAAGCATAAGTTCTTGCTTATAACTACTTTTTCGTACATTTATCAACTAACCAGTTTCGGTGTATCTAAGTAAATAGGTAGTTCGATGCGCATTTCATACAAAATAGTTTATGAACATTATGCTGCATGACTGGAAAGGGTTAGCGATGGAAGCCCAATATAAACCACCTAGTAATCAAGGTTCACTCCATCAAAAAATTAATCGTCGTTTAAATTTATCTTTAAGGTAAACGAACGCCTACTAATGATTGTTAGTTCTCATCCCCTTGGTACCATCAAAGCTTTAATCATACATTTAAAGAAGCTAGGATTGTCTATACAAAAGAAACTTATTCAATTTGTACTCATACCATGCTCTTATCGTCTAACCATCATTCTACCTCTTCCCGTCATTATATAGATCTTTTATCCCTAACTGATTTATTTCTATTTTTTATATCATCACATATTTCAATTTCGAAATTTCATTTTATCGAGTGACCAAGTCCATTCTAACAATTATAAATCTTCATCCAACTTCTGTAGGATTCACGATAAGTATTCAAGCTCTTAGCGATTATATTTTCAGTTTCTTCGCTATTACTACGTTTGGTAAATTTTTATTATCACCAAACTAATTATCGATTATCATTATGCAAAAAGTATTTATATGCGATTGTACAGCTTTGAAAATGAATTCATCTGAAATGGAAGTTTTTGGTAAACAACTAGTTCTACAAATGCCACAAGTTCACCCGTGTAATACTAAATCACAATAAACCCTTTTATTATAATAGAACTCATGGAATGGTGAAATGAAAAATACAAAAATTCTAAATGTTTCCCTTCTAGTATTGACTTCAGATTATCATGAAGATAACTTTTGAAGCATTTTAAAATAACAATGGAAATTCTCAGTACTTAAACATCAAATTAAACTACATAGTCTGTAAGTTTTAGAAAATAAATACAGTAACTTACCATACATTTTTCCCTCTTCCGATAGTATAATTTTCCTACGTCCACATGGTGGATATATTGCTAGAGCTTCCTGAAAACATTGTTCTATATCCATCGACCAAACACCTTCAACATCTGTGGAACTCGAATTCTCATGAGCATCCATATCAGAACCGGAATTACTGACACAGTCATCGTCAAAATGAAAATCTGCAGAATTTGTTGATAATCGCTTCGGCGTTGTAGGCGCTGGACGTTTACCTGATCTTATTTGATGATTAGAACTTGTATTTATCGAATTACAATAGAATGATCCATTTGGAATGGTAGTTGTGACAGAGGGAAGAGTAAGAACAGGATTAAGCGGTGGAGGGCTTCTTTTTAATTGTGTATTAATATGATGATGATGAGAATGAAGATGTTGTTGTAGCGCATTATTTGATTCAGTTATCAAATGTTCATGTGTTATCCCAGAATTCTCCAAATGTAACGAAAGTGGCGATTTAGCAGAAGCATTATCAGATAATGATTTGTTTATATACATTTTAACAGATCCTAAATCTGAATCCATATTATGTTTAGATACAGTTTTACTCAAATTAATTAAAGAATTTCCCCCGCTTGAATGATTCCCATTGTTGTTGTTATTGTTTTGATGATGATGATTGTTATTAGAGATTGTCATTTGAACTGAATCACCATCACTACTAGAACCATTCCCATCTCCAGAGGCTGCAGCCATCGCAGTTGCAGATGTGAGATTCGGGATTAAAAAACCTGGTTTACCTTTACAAATTTCCATGCTCCAAATAATATTTATATGTGTATATGATAAATGTTTACAAGTATGTGTGCATGTATGTACAAATATTTCCACCAGCTCTTTCTGTGACAAATATCTCCTCAATATATTTGTTTATATTTACGTATACTTAGTTTTTTTCCATCCAATAAATAAAATCGAAATCTGTTTTTTCTATTTATTCCTCCACTCAATAGAAAAATGGTATTATCATGTTTTGTGCTATTGTGAAATATGCTGAAGAGATGAAGCGATAATATGTGAATTAATAAGCGAACACATAGGAATGAGAGAGAAGAAATTATGCTCTGTAAAATTAATCAATTTCTAAAGATAAATATATTTACATGTCTGACCTATAATGAACATATTCACAATGTCATCCTAGTTACTGTCAGTGTCACTGGATATATTGATAGGGTGAGGTAAATATACTATTTTAAGCTAAAGCAGAAGTAACGTTTTGAACTTAAATTTACTTGCTCAAAATAAAACCACTATAGACTTTAAAGACAACATTTTCTAAATTCATGACTAACCAAGCCCCAGATATTTAAAGTATATGAAGCCATTAGTATTAGGACCGAAGTGCGTAGTGTATCACAGATCCATTATGTCCCTCTATGTGCGTGTTGTGAAGTTTGATGTGACAGGGGTGAAGGGAGTGAATAGGGAGATGAGTGGACAAAATGAAAATAGACAGATTATTCGGGTAGGAGAGTAAATGCTTCGGAATGTGCATAAATGTGTTTCGGGGGTGAGTAACTGCTAACATTAATTGTCAAAGTAATTTATTTTAAATCATAAAATCATTTGCTGTTATTCCTTGTTATCTTGTCAATTTTGAGTTCAGACTTTTATACAGTTAAAAAAAATTAAAATATAAATTTCTTTTATCTTCTAATTTCATTCATATAGAACCCAGTTACAAAAGTTTTATTTAAAGAACACGATATACAAATATATCCTGTCCTGTGATTGAGATAACAGTTTCATTTGACCGAGTAACATAAAAATAGGCTTGTTTTTGAATTTTCACGGGTAAGATTGTAAACATGCTTTCTCTTTTCAATATTACGCGCATATATAATCAATTTCAGATTTAAGAAACAACACAGTCACCATAACAATATTTATTCAGCCTACAAGTTAGGATATTCCGTAGGCTACTCTATTGAAAAAAACTGTAAATTAGGAAAAATCGTATAAAATGATTCATTTCTTAAGAGAGCAAGTCATTGGCATAGTTGCAAAATAAGGGATGGATAGTGCAGCTTTTCAGTAACAAAGTATTCAAACGATGAATAGGACATTGGGTATATGGAATCTCAAACAATTTTCACTTCATATATTCCATTTTTTTCAATAATTCTCTCTGTACGAGACAACTAGTGTAGTCGTAAATAAATCTTAAAAATGAATAGTTCTGTAAGTCTTTGATATCAATGCTAACCCCATGGGTTTGACTAAAATCACACTAGCCGAAGGTGCTCCATCACTATTCCGCTCCATATCACGAGTGGGTATGCCGTGCTAAGCATCCCTCAGAACTACTAGCCAGATTAAATCAAACGTTTCTCAACACACCGACAATCTTCCAAATCTGTCTTCGAACTCATTCATTCCTGACTTCTGATTTGACTGGGTTGGTATCCTTTGAGTATGAAGGTGTTACAGACGGAAGCGTTATTGAACCCTGAATATCTATGCCATATTTACAAGCAACGGTAATCGAAATGAATAAACTCAGAAATTAATATAAAAGACTGTCGTTGATGGTGCAATTTATTATATATGACTAGAATTTAATGGTTATGAATGGTTATGTTTGTGAACGGCAATACAAGATATTATCAGTTTGTTTAGTCACTACAATATTTGAAACACTCAACATTAAGTGGAGTGTTTATTCTCATGTAACACCGATCACAGAAAACATCAATGCAATCACAGAAGTTACCAAAATCATATTGTCTACTTCCTAGTCCTGATCTTGCTCCAGCGATCGATTGCTTCTAACCACCTAGTGTCATGATAAATAACTGGGTGGTGCCTTGTTTTTCGCCAGATTAAAAGCCAACTAACTAATAGATGAAGATGTTGTCAAACATTGTCGTGTTCTAGCCATAAATTATTGGAATAAACATTCATAAAAAAATATTAATAATAGTCAGTTCTTAAAAAGCTCAATATAATGCATGAAGAAATTAAAGCTCATAAAATGAGTAGTATTTGTATTCTTATAGTGTTTTCGTCACGTTTGGTAACTAGCCACTATCATGTAGCTAAAAAAACAAAATGCTTGATATGGTAAATTCTTCACAATTTTAATCACATAATTATCTATCATCGACAAACATATCTCCGGACGACAGTTTATTTAATTTATGCTTCCAAACTCTTCAGTAAGACAATTTATACCAAAAACAGCAGTTTAAAAAGACAGTTATATTCTAATCAAACTGAACTTATAATTCAGAAACTCAAATTAAAACCTGAATAAAAAAGTGAATTTAAGCAAAATAACAGAAATGTTTTGTGTCTCAGTAAAAACAAGTAAATAACTTTAAAATTACAAATATTTGAAATAAAAAAATTGTTACTCATCCGCATGTGTATAAATTATTATGATAATAATAATTATTATTAGATTAAAACAAACTAAGCATTCATTGACACATATCATCGTAAAGATAAACAAACCATTTGACATTTATCATACTCCTGACATAATATAAGTTTAGAATCTATCTAACATGTATTAGGGAAAGAGAATATTCAATGCAATAGATAACATTTACCTATTTGTATGTAGTTGTGTATTATAACTTGACATTTGCCATTTTAATGTACTCATTATTTATAAAACACATTGATTTCGTAATATTTCATTTACATCAAACCTGAGTGTCAATCGAATAATTATGCTGAAATGATTAACTATAGCCATCTATTTCTCTTGCGATTTAAATAAATTTTAATCAGTCACTTATCATTAGTGAGATACATATCAAAAGAGGTAGTTGATCACAAAACTCAAGAATATATTTTGTCTTCACTTTTCTGTTGGAAAATATCTGTCAAGTGGTTCTGTTTATTGTTTAAGGGGTATTTAACATAAATCTTTTAGGTTAAACATTTAAAAGGCTTATATGAAGAATTGTGTTATGAAACCTAAAGAACCATGTAACGTATATACCAATGTATATACTAAGTGTGGTAAACACATACACCTTGATTCGTAAATTTGTTTCGGAATATCTTGCTCACTTTGAAGTCTAAACATTCAAAGTTCTAGCATAAGTGGGACTATATATGCATCTTGCTAAGTAATTTTATTTGGAAAAAAATCCATGCCACAGTCCACTCTAGTTTTCAACATTGTTTGCTCCATCTTAAAATGATCGAAATCTTTCGACAATTAAAATAATTTTTAATATAATAAAACTAGTTTATTAGCAATCTTAATAGTACTTCCTGTAAGATCAATAAAATTCATTTCATTATGTTGACAACATATATAACCGCCCAATTATGAGTAGAGGGTAACAAAGAAATATGTCTATTGACTATTCATTATTGAATTAAGGATCAAAATCTAAACAAAATGAATAATTTCCTCCAAGTAGCTGTTTTCCAAACAAAGACTGTGGTTATAGCAGCCTTTTTAATATTTAATATCAGCATCGTATCCTGTAAATCTAATAATGTTCTATTCATTTATTGAGTGAGTGATGATTATTATAGTGTGAATTTCATCAGAGTTAATTTCATTTCAGAGCAGGAAAAATGTCAGATCAAAAACACAAGCATGGTAAACGCTAGGACTTGAAATATTGAACAACAATTATGCTCTAGTATTTAGTACTCAATCAGTAAATGAACAGAAAAATGAACTAAAGTTTTGGATATGATATATACACTTAGTGAACAAAGAAGTTGATGATAATCTCAGTACAAATAAATCAAACAAAAGTTCCTATCACAATCTTTATTAAATATGACTAATTAGTATAAACGTGAGTAGATCCTTCAAAATACTCTGAACCCTTTTAAAGTTTTGTATTTCGATCAATATCAACAAATAAACACCAATAAAAGACAAATATCTTTTTTAAAATTATCTCTGTTTAGTCTCATCAGCAACGTGAACTCGAAAGTATCTTCTAATAAATTATATTTAGATGTTGAGAGACTCATAAATGGGTTAATAATTGTCTTGAATGACTAATGACTTGAGAAATCAACTAACTGATTGGATAGTAAGACACATCCACTAGTTCTATTTTCTTTTCACTACTTTCTGTCATAACTATGAGATAAGTGTTTATACTTAATAAATGATAAATAAATACAACATAATTTACTTTCTTCTAAACTTACAATTAACTTGTCTCGTTCAAATCATTGTTAATCACAAGGTTAATTAAATCGAAATCGGTAAAGAATTCTCAATATGTACTCTTCTCATGTTGTTTTGATATACCTCAAAAAAACTTTTTATTATTCACACGACTTTTAAGCAAAATAACCTTTTATATTTCGGATTTGACATTTATATCTCCAGACATTCCGTAATGTTTTTTACCTTTAACTACCGGTTTATAAACATCGATGATAAAAGTAATCTAGTCAAACAGTAAGATTAATGGTATCACCTTTTTTCAACATAAACTAGTTATAGCATTAATTATTTATTTACTGTGACTGATCATCGTTTATTAAAGTGAAAAAGAAGATATGGTAACTTACACATATAGTTAATCTCATTTTTAAAAAATAAATGATCCTGACATTTTTGCATAATGAACTTGGTTTTGTTCTGTGTATACATGCAAGGAGAAGTGACGGTTATACACATTAAAAGAGAGAAAGAAAGCATAATTTTGATATCCTTTCAATGCATGTTTATACATCTATCATTGCATGTATGTTTGTATGTATGTTTTATATCTAAGGGGGTAAATAACGACGACTTAGTAGGCCTGCGTATTGTTCTTTTTATCAAAGTTGATTGACATTCAGACATAAAATCAATTGTTTCAGCTGGAGAAATTTATACAAACGAATAATACGCGTCAATGTATATCCCTGTTCTTCCCTTCATAAACTACCCAACAACTAGTAAACTATCATCAATTTGTTTTTCCATGTAATTATTGTAAGTGTCATTCCTTAAATTGAATTTTCAAACAATTCAGTACTCTTATTTCAAAAAATCACACATTCATGATAAA